GAATGAAATAATCCATTTCTAATTATTTTGTCTTGCGTCGTTCATTTACTACACAATCATGCAAAGTCGAAGGCTCGTCATTCGCACATTTCCTTTATGTTCCTTGTTTTATTATAACACTCTCCACGGCACAAAATACCAAAAACTGATGTATTTACGCTTGGCGTTGTATCCGCTCGAAGTTGAGCAATGGTTTTTCCTATCCATCTTGACCTGCAGGTAATCGCCCGTCAGAGCCGCGCCTACGACGAATAATATCAAGCGAAACTTCTTGTCAAAAACTATCTGAACGGGACAGAAGCTAGAACAGCCATCTTTGTTCTGTCCAGTACACAATTTTTGAAGGTGTGAACAAGCTATTAGGAAGAGATAATCCTTGAGAAGGCAACAAAACGGTTGCTGACACGTTAGTAATAACTGAATGAATCTCGAAAGATTGCTGTTTTCATGTTAGTTTTCTTCAATACGACCATGACCCATTTGAAAAGTTTCGACTTTTCGCAACAACATCACCATAACTAGTGCACTCATGCATTCGAATCTAATGATGAACATTGCTTCAGTTGCATGTGCTATTAATAGCCGGACCCATTCCTATCAGGCGTTGTATATCGTTCAACACGCTTTAACGGGGGACACTTTCCTTCAGACGGTAAGATTCCGTGGCTTTCTTTATCGCAATATTTTTTGACTGGTTCAGTCTATGGCTTAACGAATGTAGATCATCATCCAAATTTTCAACCCCGAATCATGGGTAAGTGGTTCGTTGATTGAGAGAGAAGTAATATCATTTGAAATGTTGTGGAGAAACTGACGGAACGACTAAAAGGTACTTATTTCACACCTTGAACTCAATAGTTGCGTGTTTTTATAATGTTGTGTTGAAGACAAATCATTACTGCAAGTCACAAAAAGTTGTTTATCCAACGAGAACTAACAATCTATAAATTATTTGCATAAATTCAAATGAATAAATTTATGGCGATGTGCAAATGGCAATGTGGTGCAATGATTTTTTTAGATTGTTCAGATAAAAATCGCATCGCTGAAAGAATGCATCGGTTTTTTGATAATGATCAACACTCAGTTCGCACAATCAGCACGAGCAATCCACCTTCCACTTCAAGCATTCCATTCCACTCGTTCACAACGGTTTCGATTGTAATCAAAATGCTACTATGCACTCACTCATGGCCATCCTCCGAACGGGCCGCAATGAGGGAAAAAGTCAGAAAATTCACATCCACGAATACAGCAGATCTTCATGAACTCGTAAAGGGTTGCTGGTCGATATCTGCGCGCAGCCCTTCGTGATCTTCTTTCATTGCAATCACTCAGCGCTGATCGTTTACGTCGTCGCATTGGGCATGCCAACTGGAATGCTTCAAAAAATGAACGACCACCTGAAAACAACTCTTAATTATGCGATTTTTGCAAAGCAATACCGCGAGGATACGTGGCACTGAAATTTAATTATGTGAAAATACCCTTTAGCAGATATGAAATTCAATTTCCTTCCATCTCAAGGACAACAGGATAGTGAGTTGGCCGCTTATTGTCGCAATAGACTAGAAAGTGGATCGAAGAAGAAACTGTGGTTTGATCAAAGAAGGTCTGATGGCATTGATCGAAACATGCGAGTTGTAGCGATTGTGCGACTCGTAACACCACAGCAACAGTGGCCAATGGACGTTGGTTGATAAGAATGCACGCTCATTTCCATTTTTATAGCGCAGTAATGGAATAATCGTATTGAAAACCAAATATCT